TGTGTTACAATTATCAGACATCTTATACAGGGTGTCCCGCGTAAGACGTACGAAAATAAAAATATAAATAGAACACATCAAAGTGAACAAAAATTGTACAAATCATTTTTCAAACAACCACGTAAAATTTCGAGATATTAATTAAAATAGGTGGGCATATCAGAGCGCGGCGACACGGCAGGCGGGACATACGGCTCGCCGCGGCCGGCGAAAAAAATGGACGATTGCTCGCGGGCCTATTTTATAGGCCAGAGAGGTGAACCGTTTGGCATACTGAAATGAGTAGCTCCGTGTGTGCGTCCGTGTACGTATGCGTTCTTCTATTTTCATTGCCGGCCGCGGCGAGCCGTATGTCCCGCCTGCCGTGTCGCCGCGCTCTGATATGCCCACCTATTTTAATTAATATCTCGAAATTTTACGTGGTTGTTTGAAAAATGATTTGTACAATTTTTGTTCACTTTGATGTGTTCTATTTATATTTTTATTTTCGTACGTCTTACGCGGGACACCCTGTATAAGATGTCTGATAATTGTAACACACCAACTCCATAGGGATGTACAGCTAAGCGAGAGGATCAGAAAAGTCCTCTTCCATTTAGTATAACCGCGGTGTTTTTACTAATACCAATATTATTGTCTATCAGTCTACTGTCACACAGCCCGTGATAAAGCGCCGTTGTACAGAGTCGACGAATACAGAACAGCGGCAGCAGAACGTACTTGTGAGCGTCGCATATATGAGCGACGCTCATCATTATTATCCGTACGCGTCTTACATTCCAAAAAGATAACATTCTTGTGATAAGTAATCTGTCTCTTTCTAATGACACGTGGCAGTAGAAATAAGCTAATGGTAGAGAACGATAAGTATAAGCATATTCGTAATAATAATTTGATAATAGAAATGTCTATGGAGATAATATGTAATTATATGTTTAATCCATGTTTTATTTGTAGATTTCCTTGAACAACGCCGACGGATTACGGTGATGCAAATTTAAAGTGGGAAGTAAACAATCTTGCATAAAAACACAATATAAAACGTATAAAATGGAACAGTTTGATTCATCGTTCCCATTGTATAATAGAAATAGTCTAATTGTTAATGATTATTTCTATTGCCACGATGGAAATGAAGAATTTGATTGTCCAGTTTTCTTATGCGTTTTACATTGTGCTTTTATGCAAGAATGTTTGCTTCCCACTTTAAACTTGCATCATCGTAATCCGTTGGTGTTGTCCAAAGAAATCTGCAAATGAAATATGGATGAAATATGGATTAAACATATAATTATATATTATCCCCATA